ACAACAAAAGTCGGAATTGACTCGAAGGCACGCAAGACCCACACATCTCCCTGATTCCTAGATCCCTGGACTGATTCCAAATCGCTCATGGTCCATCAATGGAAAACTGTGGATCTGGTAGACTGTGAAACCAAAGTGATGATTATGGTGATGATGAAGATAATAAAAGAGCCCCTTCTTCCAGCCCACAACGAACGTGGGGCACAAGACATCGGAGAGGGTCTCCTGGTTGTCACACAGAGGTGCCGGGCAAGATCACAATGGGTTTGGCTTTTGGGGCCTCCTGAAGACTGTTGCCCAATTTTATGGGTGAATAATCTGCCAAGCAAATTGGGAGCCGTGCCAGCTGAGTCATTAAAAAGTTACTCATTAACGCTCCCAAGTTCTTGCCCAGGACGGGTGAGTTATTCCTGCAGGTGCCACCTGCTTGGTTTATTTTAAAGGGCTGCAGGGAGGATACCTGAGCCGTCCGTCGTCTGTCTCTGCGGGCGAAGCAAGGACATTTCCCACGGTCAAGAGTCCCCACGCGTGGCCGGTGGGGCATTCCTCCTCTCTTAGCAGGTTTGCAAGAGCAACAGCCGCTGTCCTTCTGCAGAGGCAGGTGTGGCTGTGTGTTTTGGGAATCTCACACTCGCATGCATCTGTCCATATCACCCTGCAAGGCGTGTGTGCCTTTGGAGATAAAAACCAGGGAGAGAGCAAGAGGCTTCGGGAAATTCGGAAGAGCAAAACCCTGCAGATCTGAATCTGAGATCTATACAACAAGCCTTTCTTGCACCAAGGAAGAAGGTGCGTGCCCCAAAGTTGGCTAAGAGGAGAACCAAGATTTTGACAAAGTTGGTGGTGAAGCTGAAAGAAGCCGGGAGCCTTGAGCTATTTGCTGTGAGTTTCTCGCTTTGAGTATTTCCTTGGCAGGGAAGTTTCAGGGAGATTTCAGTCTTCCCATCTGTAAAATGGGTATATATTCATAGCATCATAGAGATGAAAGAGATGACAAGGGCCATATAGTTCAACTCCCTGTTGTGCATTCAGGCTGGCATTGCTTCTGCAAGTGTGGCACGGGGGCTAAATTCAGAAAATTATCATTATCATTATTGTTGTTGTTTATTTATATAGTGCCATCCATGTACATGGTATGCTTTACAAACAGAATACAACATTTATAACTATTTCAATGATAC